TGTGTGTGTGTGTGTGGAGGGGGGTTTTTTCAAAGGGATTTTTACTAAATGTCACTTAGGGATCATCAATAAATTCCAATAAATTCCAATGCTGGATGTATTAATATAGTACATCTACCCATCATAAGAATATGAATATGTATGTTTTATAAATCATATTCTTTCAATAACTTCCATGTCAATGCTGAATTGTATTATCGTGGATAAACATGGACTATAATCCAGGAAAGAAAGGGGTGTGTCCTGTTTGTCTAAGGTAGGAATATAAATCAGCGTTTGCAGGACAGCTGTTTGAAGTCAATGAAAGAAAAACATAAGTATTCATACAAAACAGACGACACGTTTAAATCAAAAGTGTCTTATTTAATGGAGATAGCACTAATATCTGATAGAGGCTGAAACCAGTGAGTCACTTGATATGGAAGCAATTATCATTGATACCTTTTCATACAAGAACTTATTGATGGTCCCTAAATGAAAACATGATCAGCTTGAAACTAATTTCACTGCTTTTCACTGGTCATAGGTTTGCATCCATTCACTGCATCCCATGTATAAAGTTAAAAAGTGAGAACATCTCGTTTATCTTTGGAATCATCGCAAATAGACGAGTGACAAAATTGCTCAGTGTCGATATTTCAGGTTATTTTTTTCTTGAATTCTTCGTTAAAATAATCCCATGATTCAGTGTCCGGGTGAAACACTTCGGTTGCTTCTGCCCAACAAGGACATTTATTTCAATTTGATTAGATTTTTAAGTACTCTACGTGTCTGGAGGCAGCGGTAACATCCACACGGTCCCTGGTGTCCGGGAACGCCCTCCTCGTGCCGACCTTTGAACCAACCAGCGCCGGAGGATCAGCTGATGATGTCACGTGACCCTGGCTAACGCGCAGCTAGCCGCCTAGCATAACAGCTGGTGTAGCAGCCCAGCGGAGAGCGGCTGCGGCTAAATGTGCGCGTCACCCCGCGGGTCTCAGTCGTGGGGATCGCTAAGACATGAGTAAGTCGCTTTGGTGAATAGCTCTTAGTTGTCTACCTGCGCAGGGAGTGTGGTTGTTGCGGAACTTAGCTGATTAGCTTCACGTTCCAGCCTCAACAAGTCAGCTCTACCGCAGCTAATGCTAATGCTAACTTGACATCAGGGTGGCTGTCAAACCTGAGAGGAGGCAAACGGTGAAGATGGTTTTAAACGTTTTAAAAACCGGTTTGTGAACATTAATAACTGACGTTGGTTTTTTTTTACCTGTTTATAAATGTGTAGAATATAATTTATTAAAAATACATCTTGTTGTTTGTTTGTTGACACTTTATAGGTTACAAAACAAACAAACGTAAGACCAGAATGAGATGTAATGACCAAAATATTGAATTTCTAAATAGTTCAACTAAAGCTAAATATCATATTCGGTTTGTTTCAACTAACATTTGATTCCTCATGTTAAATTCTATCAACTCAAACAGCTTCATCTTTGTGTTTCAGGTGAAAACAGCTGGCGTGTGTTGCTTGGCTGCGTGTGAGCGAACATGTCTCTCCGGTTGTGACCAAAGTGGCCATGTATCCTTTCAGCCGTGAGGCGGAGACCTCACTTCAGGACCTGGTTGAATATTTCAAGAGGTGCCTGCAGCATGGAGAGTGGGAGCTGGCCAGTGCCTGTGTGCCACAGCTGGTCCGGTCAACGCACTCTGAAAACCTGCGGGACATTATCAAAGCTATCGTCTGCCATCCGTACAAGTTAAAGTGAGTCGCACAACTGCAGTTTCACAAGACACCAGGTTTCTACTCGTACTCAAGAACTGTGAGAGAAACCAACATTTAAACTGTGTTTATTTCGTAGATGGAAGACTGTGGGCAGTCCACACAAACTGGCTTGGTTTTGGCTTCAGGTTTTGGAGAAATGGACAGAGGAGAAGGTAAAAGTATGAAGAGCTTTAATGTTACTCAGTAGAGTGCATGCATACCTCCGCCAAGGCTCCAACATTCTCATTTGTTTGTTTACACGTTCTGGTCGAATTGTCTTGAACTGGTTTGTGAACTTGGGTGATAATGTATTTGAAACATCACCCTGAGTGTGACACGCTGTGAAAACACTTTCTTCGTCTTCACTTCAGGTTTCTCCCAACATCAGAAGAGAGTTGGAGTTTCTTCTGCTCCTGGAGGAACTGGGTTCAGAGGGCATAACAGAGACTGTTCTCAAGGTTACTTTTGCTCTTGTCATCAATTAAGCCTGTAGTTCATAATGAAGTTGTAAAAACAGATATGTTTCTAAGAGGTTTAAAGGTTTGGCAGACTAACACAAACATTTCCTCAGATCAAGAATGACTATCTGGATCTGTTCTTCTTTATTTCACATTGTGACTGTTCTGTTAGTTGACAGAAAACAGGACTGACATACTTTTCCTTTCAGCAGGAGTTGCATCAGGCCTACTTGAACAGTCAGCCGGACCAAAAGGCTGCAGAGGGTTCGACATCAACACATGCTGCTGTTGAGTCCTGCCTCCGAACCTTATTGGAGAAGAAGAAGCCCAGACTGGCTCAGTCTTTAGCACATTTCTTACAGGTAGAGTCAAACACTGAGTATCAACACTACAACATAAATATATGGTACTCTGTGCACATTGATTTATTAAGTGATGATGTACGTAGGAGTCAGTTAGGACTAAACATATAAATCACAATCTAAACAGTAATATATCTGGTGGAATTGGAATTTTTAAAGAATTAAGTGGTGGATTGGAATGTGGTTTGGACTTTAGGTTCCCGGTTCAGATCCCAGAGTTTGCATGTTCTCTTCGGGCCTGTGTGGGTTTTCTCCTGGTCCTGCTGGTTCTCTGGCATCATCCTACAGTCCTAAGACTAAACAGAGACTCTAAATTATCCATAGGAGTAAATCAGAGTGTGAATGGTTGTTTGTCTATGTATGTTGGCACTGTGATCCGCTGGGGACCCGTCCAGGGCTAAGCTCAATATATAAGAATGGACAGAGCATAATATATGAAAAGAATCAAATAACAAAGTATATGATTACTTTTAAACTTACTGAAATGATTGATCGGTTATTAAAACACTTTCCATATTTTTGTTATTTCCTGCAGGGCCAGTCTTCCACAGAGGACAACACCCTGCAGCACACGTTCATCCAACACCTGATGAAGAAACTGGCAAAACCAGAGACGAAGGTGGAGGAGATATATGCAGTGTTGGCCGTGATGCCGTGGAGCTCTGGTCGGAGCGGTGGGCAGTTTGAGGCTCTGTGTGAAGCGCTGTGGGCAGCCAGAGAGGGACCCCTGAAAGAGGAGAGGATCCTGAGCTCGCTGCTCCGCCCTCAGTGCGACGCTCTCGTCTCTCTGTACTGCTCCACTGCTCTGAGGCTGCAGAGGGATCATCTGCTGAGGAGCACCCCTGACACACCAGGTAGTCTGAGTGGGTTCACCTCTGAAAATCAGAAAGGCATTGAAATAGTTTGATTCTTATTATGTGATGTTCATAATTCTCTTGTGACATGCCACAGATTTAGACATGTAGGATGTGTGATGAATCAGAAATCAGTTCCTTCTCTGACCTCATGTTTTTTTAATAGTAACGATAGTGATGTGATATTTATTCTGAGGTTGAGTCTGAATCGTTTCTTACTTTGTCAGAGGGGAACTGTTGATGTCATCACTTTTGATCAGACTTCTGCTTCTGAGGGTGTTGACTCATTGAAATTCCATTTTTTAACATCACTTGTTTAGTCACAGATTTTCTTTTTCCATTTCCTTTTTTAGCCACACAAATCATTTGTTTTATAATGTTGTGTGACACCAGTGGTGATGAATTGGTGAATTGTTTTTCTCCATCCTGGTAAATTTAACTAGTCACACAGATAGATCAGTAAAAAAAAAAGACGTTGTTTAAATGTCCTCCATAGTTCCACGTCTTATTTGGATTTTCTAAGAAGCAGCAATGGTATTTTTCTTTCTGAATACCTCCATTCTTGTACCATGTTTTGATTTTATACAACTTCTACAACTACAACTTCTTAGATCCCTTGTAATACCAGGGTTTCCATAG